GATCACGAGTGACTTTCGCTTGGTTCCATATTCCCGAACCTACGAGTGCCTTCTTTCCATCTCGGGTCTAGGAGTATCTTGTTATTTTTCTCTTTATTTTCCTTTTTCTTGCAATTTGAGGACTTGCTTGCGATTAATGTTGAATATTGCCCTCGTTTAGTTTAAATTGCGTTCTTAGCTTAATCCAAACCCCAAATTGCGAGTAGAGTGTTTAGGATTTTATTTTATTTTGTTGTGTGAGTCAATCGTTATTTGAATCCGTGTCCGAATAGCCTTCCTTTGAGAACGACCCGAGTCCAGGTAACTCGGTTACCAACTACCCAATAATACTACAAACACTACTATGTACACTTGCGGATATCTAAAATAATTAGCAAACAATCTGGAAATAGGTCATTCTCGATCCAGATCTAGACTCTGAGGAACTCCGACAACGTGAAAAGAAAGGGGAGCCACCAAGAACACACCGGAGGGCTTGAGACTAGGACCCAAGGAGGCTCACATAAGGCTATTGATCGCAGTTGTGCGGCCTGACGAACAGGCGGCACAGCCGACGACCACAACCTCTAAGGTTAAGAACAGTCGCGCATGATAACGAAACTCCAGCAAATCGGTGGTTTCCTTCGACTGCGGGCTAGAAGCTGCGTCCGGCGATCCCCTTCGAAGCCGGGGGAACTCAGAGGGACGGCGAGACCCACCTTTGGCCAAGACTCCCGCAAAGCTTCAGAGGAGGTGGAAGAGATGACCCCAGCCGCGACTCGGTCAGTCTGGTGGGTGTTGTGGTCTTGCTGCTGGAAGAGAGAGCGCGAGGGCTTTTCAGATGAGGGTTTTAGGATTTTTTTTTTTTTTGAAAGAGAAAAGGGGAGAGGGGAAAAGACGCTCTTTCTTATCCTTTAACACAATATTTATGGAATCAAATGTTGAATTGCTAGTTTGAGTATATAAGCACTACTACAAAAATGTTATTCAAATTTTAAAATACTAATCGCGAGTCAACATCGTGACAAATTTACTTATTGTCTTTCTCACAAAAGATCCTTTAATTCGCAGTTCGTATGGGATTTTCACCCTTGTTGTCCCTAACAACCCAGATGTCCTATCAAATGGTAAATTCACCCAAAAAAAAAAATAAATAAATAAATAAATAAGGGTTAAATGCACGAAACCCCCCTGTAATATACTAAATCTGCGGATTGTCCCCCTCTATTTTAAAAAATGCGTCAAACCCCCTTCTATTGTAGTTTGGCTAGCATACGCTCCCCAACTTATGTCTGGGAGTTAACACCGTTAATTTTTTTGTGAACAACCCGTTATGCCCTTGTCACTTGAGAAGTCACTCTCATCTGAAACTAATTTTATTTTTAATTTTTCAAATTCGATCTCTCTCTCTCTTCTCTCTCTCTCTCCCCGATTCTCCCAAAAATATCCCAATCTCAACCACGATTCTCCAAAAAAATTGTCGATCTTCAACTAATAATTTGTAGATGGATTGATGTCGCATAACATGATGCATCTTTATCTTCAATATTCGAGCCGAA